TTCATGGCAGTTTCCACCTCACAAAGGAGAGATTTCATATGTTGTGCGGTGTCGTTCATTAAGTTGCTACGTTCTATTCCGTCGAAAGAACTCACAGCCGACTCGATGTGCATATTCCATAATTTATGTAAAGTCGCGGCGTGAATTTGAATTTGATAATGAAACTCCGGAAGAGCCTTTAACCAAAAAAAAGGAACAATTCACCTTTTATACAATTTTTGCTATTTCAGATTAGTAAAGGAAATAAATTGGATTCCCTTTTTAGCAAAGTGAATTTGTTGTTGAAACTTACCGAAACATTATCGTCAAGAGATTGGAAGAACTTCTTTGTAGGAAGCCAATCTGGTTTCTTAATTTGCTTGCTGTGCACGGTACTTTCGAACTATAAAGAAAGAAAAGCACTCATTGGTGAAATTTATTTATTTATTTATTGGAGAATTACGGAGAAGAAGAGAATTTTCCGATTTTCAGGAGAGTTTAAAAGCAGTGAAAAAACACAGAATTTAAAAATTTACCTTTGAACAGTACCGCTGTACGTGCTGTGACACTCGACTATTGAACATATTTACGATAGTTTTGAGTTGAGTTTTGACGGCTGGCGGTATGCCTCTGCTATGCCGTATCCTATTGGGATTATAACTGCAGGGATTGTGCCACCACGGTTTTTCTTCATTTTCGTACACCGGTGCGGGGGCACAACGTGCGACGGGTAATAGGAGCGACGCTGCGACCAGCGCCGCTAGACCAATTGCCGCAGCGGTAGTCCTCAGTGATCCTGCAAAACAGCGAAATTCATTGATGAAAACGAGAACGACGGCGACGACGGGAAGTAGTAATTTCAACAGGTGGTCGCGCCGTGATTCATGAATAATTCCGGTGATATTTTGAACGGGCGCGTAAACGCGACGGATAATGACAAACCACGGTAACGATCGCATTAGTTACGGTACTACCTACTGTTACTGTATTATTACTGATTGTAATGAAGTTTGTAGTTAGTTATTACGCGACCATTTGGCATCTAATAAGAAAATTCGACGGACACGACGATCGGTATGTCCGTCAGACAGTCGCTGCTTACGATAAGTGGTGAAGTCGCGTGAGGTTTCGCGGTTGCAACCAGACTGTTGTGTTTGGTATACATAGGTACATGTAGGTATGTCGAAGCACCCGCATTGAACTCACCGACCCAACTCGACCACTGAAAGATGCTCGCGTTATTTACGGTTTGAATGGATTCGCGATCTTTATGACCCCGACTGAAACATTTTTTTAAACACATTTCTGCATACTCAGAGGTGCATGCTGGTAAAAATCTAGACGTCGCGAGTATGTACCTAACGTGACACATCTCTGTTATTCAGCACTTGCGATGTGTAAGTATTTTTGCGGCAATACGATTGCGAGCGTTTTACAACACAATTTGGAACAAATGATGATTACCTTCGAGTAAAATCCGCACTGCCATTTATGTGAGGTGTGGGTGAGTTGTTTCACTTATAATAAATTCTTGGAAACGTCGAAGCCGCAGCCGGGTCTCTCACTGTCGATGATTGCGAACAAACGAGCGGAGGAGACGAACAGTCAGACGCACGCAGAAAGTTGATGACTTATCAACAAACAGCAAAGGACTAGTTTTCCACTACTATAGCTTCGGTTCTTCTCTCTGTGTTTTGTGTAATTATTATGCCGCGATTCTACTATCATCGTCTGTATTATAGGTCCTGACGGCGGCGGCCACAGTGGAGGGGGGTGAGACAGCAGGAGCATGTTCATTGATGTTCTTTCTTTTACGTCACACCGGGGATATACCATGTACAATAAACAAAACACAAATTACACGCATCTTTAGCAAAATAAACTGTAGCAAGGACTCGTCGCGTTGTCGTCTCCCTCTCTCGCCGTTGCGCGCGAATCCAAAAATAGAAATTTTTTACCGTTTTAAGGAACTAAATTTTCGCGTCATTTATCGCCGCATCGCCGTCGAACTGCTCTACATGTACGTACCCGCGTTAACTTGTTAGCCATAGATACTTATAAACATTGCGATATTAACTTACATAATCCGCAATCGTGCGAACGAATAAAAAATGTCCGAATGAAACTATTCGACTCGACTAATCGTACCTAAGCTGTCTATCTACCTATGTTGTGTTGATGTTGCTTAAATGACTACATCATTCGCGTATATCATTATCAGTTAGTATAAGATATATAGGTAAACACATCTACGAGCGTACATACGTACATATGCACGTATGTATATGTGTACGTATGTATCGAGTGTGGGACGTACCCACCCTAATAACTAACTATAAATAAGCACCTATATTGTACATTATGCACGTGTTTCTACACATTATCTACATAAATGATTATCTCGTAATTAAGTGCTCTCTAGGTCAGGAGACCTTTTATCGGTAGTTTTATTCAATTGCCTTCTCAACCTGCATTCTCTCGATTTTAATTATATGTACATACATATGTATAT